ACACAATAAATAATTTTTAGATTTTACATTGTCAGAATACTTCTTTTAGTAAATTAGGAGCCATTTTTCTTGAACAGACCAAAAACAGTGTCCCTACAAGGTCAAAATTGCCACACTAGTGAGTACATTTGGTCCCCACAATGTAAAAGCAAGGTATACACACACACCTGTCGCAGCAGACTGTCTGTCTGGAAGGGACAGTTGATCAGATCCTCATTGTGGCCCATCTTCCTGCACACTGTCCGTGAGATCTCCACTTCCAGAATATAGCGGACGCCTTTGACTATCTGCACATGAGGACATTCATATTAGAAAATACACACACACACACACACACAGTGGAACAAATGTATATCTGACGCTGCACCTGTCTCTTTGCACAATCAACCGCTGATGCTTTGAAGAGGAAAGCGTCGTTGGATTTATTGTTAAAAGAGTAAGTTCCAGTCAGGACGGCCTTCTTCACCCCGGTGTCATTCTTACTGACATTCTGCAGAGCTCCTGGGATCGGCCTGCTGAAGACTCGGTGCACTCCACCTTTCTCTGTAGCCAAAACAACTCACATCTGTCATTTTCAGCTTAGATCTTGACAGACAGCAAAGAGCACACAAATTAAGGTATGATAAGATCAGGGCCGGAAATTAAAGGGGTCGCTGACTGAGAAATCTACTTTTACTTCTGTTATATAAGAGGCCGTCATAGTAAAAGAATATCATGTACATTTTAGAGCTGAAATTATCCTCGCTACTGAAATAAAAGCTTCTATCGAGAGCAGGCCTAGAAAAATGCCAGATCCTGGAATGTGTCCATCTATGTGTAGGTTAAACACCGCCTACACTCATTTCTGCATGACTGAAGTACAGATGAGGAATAAACATGTTGTTTAAAATGTTTTTTTTTTTTTTAATCACAGTAAATTTACAATCATACACATACACAATCATAGTGTATGTTTGCAGTTTGTAGGCAGAATTTAAGCTACAGGGCAGTATTACACTAA